ATTGTGAAGACCATGGCCTGTATCAAACGCACCTTAGTCTCCAGAGAGACACCATTGCTCTTCAGTACTTTGGAGAGGTCCCCAACAGCAGACTTTCCCACGGCAATGCGCCTTTTAATTTTCTGGCTACTGGTGCCAAGAGTGTTGACTGTGGAGCCAAGCAGACTAAAGCTGTGTACAATCTCAATTTCCATATTTTAATGCAAACAAAGCACTGATTTATGGTCTTTGCAAACTGAGCAACCCTCACGTGTAATTAATTTCCTAGTGGGCATTGTGTACTTGTGTGTTATTAAGTTGAGGCCATTATATGTGGAAACATTCCTTTGTTATCTACCGGTACTTTGAGAAAGACACCAGAGTGGATGGTGCTAAAAGAAATTTATTTTATCCTAGTTTGTTGTTGTTATGTGCCGTCGAGTTGCTTGCGACTCATAATTACCCTATGTAGAACAGCCCTAAACCCTGCTCTATCCCTTGCCAATCTCACTGTCTCCGGCACATCAACCCCCATTACCTCAATGACGGAATCAATCCATCTCATCGAGGGTCTTCCTCTCCTGTGCCATCCCTCCACCCTCCCAAGTATGACGTTCCTCTCCAAGGACTGATCCCTCCTTGCAACATGTCCAAAGTATGTTAGACGGAGCTTCAGAATTCTTGACTCCAAGGAGCAGCCTGGCTTCACCCTTTCCAGGACGAATCTGTTTGTTTTCCTAGCAGTCCATGGTACCCTCAATACTCTTCTCCAGCACCACAGCTCAAAGGTATCAATTCTCTTTCTATCATCCTAAGTCACTGTCCAGCTCTCTGAAGCATAGCAAGTAATGGCAAAGACCATGGCCTGGATCAGGCGCACCTTAGTCTCCAGACTGACAACATTGCTCCTCAGTACCTTGGAGAGGTCTCTGACAGCAGACTTTCCCAGTGCAATTTGTCTTTTAATTTCCTAACTGCTGGTGCCAAGAGTGTTGATGGATCAAAGTTTAGGAGTCCGCAATAAAGTTTCTGGCTATATTTGTTGTTGTTGTTGTTGCTGTTATATGCCTTCGAGTCGTTTGTGACTCATAGTGACCCTATGTACAACAGCCCTAAACCCTGCTCTATCCTGTGCCAGTCTCACTGTCTCCAACACATCCACCTCCATTGCCCCAGTCACTGAATCAGTCCATCTCATCAAGGGTCTTCCTCTCCTGTGCTGTCCCCCAACCCTTCCAAGCATGATGTCCATCTCCAAGGACTGGTCCCTCCTTATAACATGTCCAAAGTATGTCAGATGAAGCCCCAGAATCCTTGCCTCCAAGGAGCAGCCCAGTTTAACCCTCTCCATGATGAATCTGTTTGTTTTCCTAGCAGTCCATGGTACCCTCAATACTCTTCTCCAGCACCACAGCTCAAAGGCATCAATTCTCCTTCTGTCCTTCCCTAGTCACTGTCCAACTCTGATGCATAACAAGCGATTGCACAGACAGTGGCCTGTATCAGACGCACCTTAGTCTCCAGAGAGACACCACTGCTCTTCAGTACTTCAGAGAGGTCCCTAACAGCAGACTTTCCCATCGCAGTATGTCTTTTAATTTCCTGGCTGCTGGTGCCAAGAGTGTTGACTGTGGAGCCAAGCAAACTACAGCTGTGAACAATCTCAATGTCTTCACCATCCATCCCGATGCTGCCAATCGGTCCAGTGGTGAGACTCTTTGTCTTACAAGTCAATGTTGTCACTATTTTTGGTTTTATTACGTGGCCAAGTGTTTAAAGACCCTTTGCTTTGCCAGTAACAGCTCTGGCAGTTCTGTTAACTCCAGAAGAATGTTACAGTCATGGATTTGGCAAACGCTTCCCGTGCTGAATTCCTTCCAGCAATGTTCACAGCGAATCAGTCCACAGTTAGAAATCACAGATCATCTTCTGACAGATTGTCACTGCCATGTCCACCTCTATCATGTCTCAGCATTCCTCATGCTTGTCACATCCAAGCCTCTCCTCCCTCCCTCCCTCCCTCCCTCCCTCCCTTCCTTCCTTCCTAGTGGGGAAAACTTTAATACATTTCTATTACAATCAAGACCACCACAAGGATGCCCATTATAGATGATACTATATAAAACTGTAATAGCAACACGAGACAGAGCCATTAGGCAAGAGAAATTCCTTACTCTGGGAAAGAACCCTAAAACGGTTTCATTTATAGATGAAATTCTACAGAATCAAAATTAACGAAAATATTAAGAAAATTCAAAACCAAATTATAAAATTAATACATAGAAATCAATTGCCTTCATGTTCACAACGATTATTTAAAAGGTTTAACAGAGGGGATGGTGCGGCCCCAGGCCCGGGAGAGAGGACGCACCATGGCCCCGGCAGCGCCAGGCGAGCTGGCGGCCGGACACAGACACTGCCACCTGCCCGGGCTCGCGCCTGCCTTCCTCGGGCCTCGGAAATCGCAGTCAAGGACCCTGCGGGAGGGAGTGGCCCATCCCCACTGCCAGCGAGGGCGCTTTTTTGTGTGTCTTGGTTTTGTCCTTTTTTTTTTAAAAAGAATAATGCTTTGTAGGTTTGGTTGGCCAATCCAAGGGGATTGTGAACGATTTGCAGAGAGAATGTTTCAGGACACATTTGATATGTTCTAAAAAAGCTGAGAAAACCCCTCCAAACAATTAATACAATATCAATAGAAAGCGAGTTTCTTCAAGAGTCACCTGCTAAACTCCACTAGCGTCATCTCGACAATCTGAAGTTCGTCTTGGTTTGAATCTAGTCGCTCCCTCCATCAGCTTTCCTGGTGCCCAGGTGACAGTTCATTGACAGAAGATGAAAGGCCTCACTAACCACACAGGTACAATTAAACTCCACCCACCCATCCTAGAGAGAAAGATGGATTATCTCAGAAAATCCACTGAAGGGTCAGCTATGAGTCAATTCTAACACAATGAGCTGTTCATCCACACATTTACGAGCTCTGTTATTCCTGTTCCTGTCCTTCAAAGCTGCCACTTCCAGTGAGTTCCTGAAGCGAAAACCCTCATCCTAACATCTTTATCTACAACAAAATGTTCCCCTTTTCATCTCTGAATTTATTCTGTGTTTGAGCCACCAAAATTAGCAAATAAAATACCTGTTTTCTCCTCAAGGAAAAAAAAAAGGTTTAACAGAGAAAACACTCCTTCATAATAATGAAAAAGATAAAATAATTGGAGAAGGACATTATACACCCAAGGGTAGAGGGACAGTGCAAGAGAGGAAGATCCTGGGTGAGATGGATTGAATCAGTGACTGGGGTAATGGGGGGGGGGTAGGTGTGCAGTCCTTTTGCTTTTCTAATCTGCTCATTTCTTCCTTCTATGTTTCTCCAGAGCAGCCTTTCTTATTTCTTCTGTAGATGATGAGAGTCAAGCATTGCACTATAAACTTGCCACTTGATCACAAAGTTTCCCCACTTCTACCATTTTAACCTGTTTGGCCTCACTGTCAGAGGAAAAAAAAGAGAGATTCTAGGCTGTAAGTAGCACAGAAGATTGTCTATCTTTCTCCTGGGAACCTGCGGGTGGATTTGAACCACCAGAGAGGCATGGCCTTTTTTGGCTAGCAGCACAGCTCTCTATGGACAACACTACTGTAACTCAGACAACAGGGGCAGGGTTGTAAAGGAGAACCACAGGGGGATAGTGGAAAGAGTGCTGATACAATGTAGGAACTGTAACCAGGAATGGCTAAATGGGCTACCAATCTGCTTTGTACACTTTCACCCAAACCACAATAAAATACGGTTAAGAACAACAGAATCAAGGCAACAATCTTGCACATCGCATGTTGTTGTTGTTGTTGGGTGCTGTCGAGTCGAGCACTACTCATAGCAACCTGATGAATAAAAGATCTGAATCCCGTCCTGTCCTGCGCCATCCTCACACTTCCTGACACACAAGAGCCCACTGCAGCAGTCACCGTGTCAATCCACCTGGTTGAGGGTCTTCCTCTCCTTCGCAGACCCTCCACCCTGCCCAGCATCGTGTCCCCCTCCAAGGACTAGCCCCTCCCAGCAACAAGCCCAAGTATGTGAGGTGAAGTCTCATCATTCTTGCCTCCAAAGAGCACTCCCTCTGCACCCTCTCCAGGACATAGCTAGCTGTTCGTTCTCTTCGCCGTCCATGGGATGTTCAGTGCTCTTCTCCAACACCACGGCTCAAAGGTGCCAATTCTTTTTTCTGTCATCCTTATTCACTCCCCAGGTCTCGGATGCGTATCTAGTAATCGGCAAGACTATGGCCTGAATCAGATGCCACCTTAGTCCTCAAACTGACACCACCCCTCTCCAATAATTTAGAAAGGTTCCTAACAGCAGATTTTCCCAGGGCCAAGTGTCTCCTTGTTTCCTGACTGCTGGTACCAAGAATGTTAATTGTGGATCCAAGTAAGAGGAAGCATAAGCCTATATATTTACGTTCAGATCGAAACAAAAATAAATTACGTGCCTTCTTCTTGTTGTTACGTACCGCCAAGTCAACTATGACTTGCAGGTGGCCCAATGCACAGCGGAGCTGAACCCGGCCCTACACTGCCCCAGCCTCAGGCTTGGATAAGGTCCAGTGCACTGTTGCAGTAACCATCCTCCAACCCATCTTGTCTTTCTCTCTTTCTCGAACTGTCCAGCTTACTCAACATTGTATCTTATTCCAAGGACTGCCCTCTTTTTTTCCCACATTTAATTTTTATTATTTTTTTTAATGCTGCACACAACAACATTTATTTCATTTATTTGTTTGCTGCTTGTATTTATTTTTTTTTTTACTTAAAGTGAGAGGGAACTTTTGTGGCCTTTTTTAATTTTTATTTTTTATTTATTTTTTTTATTATTATTTTGTGTGCGTGTATCCATCAAATCGGATCTGACTGGTACAGGAGGAGATTGTCCCTCCTTCTCCAGCAGCACATCTGGTGGATTTGAACCATGCACCTCTGGGATTGCAGTGCAGCTTCTTGCCCCTAGGCCACCAGACCTCCCCGGCCTTTTTTTTTTTTAATTCTTTAACTATAGGCGGCCTTAAGCTTTCTAAATTGTATAATATTTAAGCAAGCTGAAAGGGAAAAAGGGTTTTTGCAAAAAATCTCTCGAGGGAAAGGAAAGGTTGCTTGGTTTAATCATGCGCTACAGTGGGTGATTAACTGCTTGCAGAATTAAGTTTCATTTTTAATTAACCGTGCTTAAGGTTTTAATTATATCAGTGTCCCCTCTTTACAGCAGCTCATGCTGACGAAGGTGCATGCGCTGAAGGATGTCAGGGCAGTCGTCGAATACGCGGCGAATGTTCTCGGGGTCCACAGCGCAGGTGAAGCGGGGGTACCAGCAGTGGTGCCCGTCTCCACAGGCGGTGCTGATTCTCAGAAATTCGTCGCGGATCAAGTACTGGGCTCGGGTCACGCGGGGATCCTCGCCAGGGCTCAGGAGTAAGTGTAGTCCTCGATCTTGGACTTGCCAGGAAGGATCTTCTTGGCCAGCAGATCTTGCTTGTTGGGGAACAGAATCACAGCGATGGTGCGTCTGTTGTTGCAGATGCTCTTGAAGAGGTCCAGAGCCTCCCGCAGGCGGCTGGCTGGTCTGGTTGTCCTCGCGAATCACCATGCCGTAGCTGCTGCTGGCCACCACGTAGATGATGGCAGTCACATCATTAAAACACTGGGTCCACTTGCGGGGCTCATCGCGCTGGCCGCCCACGTCGAACATGTGGAAGTGGACCTCGTCCACCTGGAACGTGGTCTCGAAGATTCCAGAAGTCAGGACACAGCAACGCAGCAGGTCCTGGCCGCTGGGCACATAGTCGGCCTGCTTGATGACATCGATTTTGTCCAGGAAGTACTGGGCACAGTCGATGAGCTGGGACGGCCCTCTTTTAACAACTATTTGTGGCTTAGAGATGGATACACACACACACACACACACACACACACACACACACACACACACCCCATACATACACAGGACAAAACCATAAAAGAGAAGTAAGGAAATGATTACAAAAGTCGAAGGAAGGAACACTCCCTGACCACTCCTCATGGCAGCAGAAGCTAGGGCACAATACGGGGGTGATTGAGCGAGCCTGGTGGGTGGGCACCGAGCTCTGGCCTGACCTCCACGTGCCCCCCGGGCTCCCCACTCCTGATGCTTCACGGGTGTTTGAACCCTTCCTGGCCAGAACAATGGTGAAATATTTCCTGGGACCAAGCGTTCGCCGCCTTCTGGTAGTGGTACCCGAATCCCTCCGGCAAACATGTCTTGACGAAAGACATAGTACACTGGGTGGTCACTCCTGACCAGAAACTCATGTCCTGGAGACTCCTGGCCAAGACCAACAGGATGCCCCACTAGGCAGAGCGACTGTTTCCTGCCAATGTGACATACTCGGTGACATCCTGGAGGACTCTACTCTGGACCCACAGAATCACACCATGACCACCTTCGCCTGGGACATCAACCATGCCCGGCTGATGGTGGTGGAGGAACGCTGGGTTTACTGTGTGAACAGTGGTTGGGCTGAAATCTGCCGAGAAGCTTGGGGTTTTCCTCTAGACTGTTTGGTGTCTCCAGGACTGTCCAGGAATTGGGTCTGGCTCGATTTAAAAGCAATGTGACCAAGACTAAGAAGGGTTTTGAATACATCTTGGCCAAGCTACAAGGTGAAGCCCCTTCTATGACACTTGTAACTGCCCAGGAAGCCACGGAAAAGGCAAAAGAGACAGCACTGGCAGCTACAGAGAAGGCCGAGGACCTAGCCAGCAAGGCGGCTGCGAAGAAACAGCAGCAGCAGAAGCAGCATCAATAATTTGTGTAGCCACATCATCGGCCCTGCACAGCCCTTCTACCACCAACATCGCACAGCAGCCAATCCAGCTCCGAGCCTGTATCCCCAGTGTGTATTCTTTTAGAAATCAACATCCAGCCCTCTCTCTTGCCTAAGAGACAAGCTAGGACAGGGGGAAAGGGTCGTGTTTGGCATCAAAAGAACAGCAAGCATGCCATCCATCCACAGTCTGTGCTGATTCTGCATATTCCTCCCGCTTGGCCGTTGAGGCACAGAGAGGTACAGACTTGCCCGGGTCAGTGTGCAGGCGAAGAAATGCTAGACTGTAAGCTCCGTGCGGGGAGGGATCTGTCTGCTCTCTGATGTATCCCAAATATCTGGAATAATATCTAGTATGTAATTGGCGCTCAAGAAAGAACTGTTGACTTAAACAAACAAAAAACCAGAAAACAAAAGTCCAGGGAAGAGGAGAGCTCTGGTGGTAGGGTCTGTAGCATCTCTCATTGCTGGCCAAAAGTCCGACCAGAAGTTACTTCAGGAAGAAGGAAGGCAGAGCTACAGGTTATGAAGTGACGAGACAAGTTCTAGTGACGACAGTGTTTGATTTCATCAGGGTGCAGCTACACAGATAGAGGTCTTTTCATGATTCCTTGAATCGCTATCCTCTCTATTTCTAGCTGTGTTTTACATTTTATCGAACAGAGCAGGGAGACACAGGATGGTTCAAAATCAAGAAATGGGTCCGTCAGGGATGTATTTTGTCTCCATACCTTTTCAGTCTGTATGCAGAACAGATCATCTGAGACAATGGGCTGTACAAGGAGGAATGTGGCCATCAGGATTGGTGGAAGAATCATCAACAACCTGTTTTATGCGGATGACACAACCCTGCTTGCTGAAACTGAAGAGGACCTGAAGCGCTTGCTGC